TGACTAAATTCAAGCATTATGATAATAACTGTTTTATAGAGCTGATTTTGTTTTAATGTTTCCAGGTATTTCAAGCAGTGTCATCGCGTATTGCATATTTTTCTGCTAAACCCTAATTTCTACCAAATGTTTGCCGACAGTTAAATCCTTCAATACCTGATGCTGCGCTTCGACACACCTTCAATCCTGTTCGCAACTGTTACACTATTTCGCATGCCTCCATGCTTTTATTTTATTTTTATTTTTTCTAATTTGTGGATGTAATACGTTAGCTTTTATCTGCTTTGCCTTTGATTAGTATAAGCTATCGGCATTAGATGAACGTGGCTTCTTCAGTTTCTCCAAGTTCTTTATGACTATATCATGCAGAGATGAATAACGATTTCGCACCTCACATACAACCAACCACAAGCTTAAGTACTCCTTTTCGTCCAACTCCATCACCGCACGCCGGTAATCTTCGATATGTGGATATTTGGCCACTTTCGAAACGACTTTGGCACGGGACAGAAAATAACGTGAAATTTGGTCGAAGAATGCAGCTGCTTCAGATTCTACTGCTTGTATTTCAGCAAGTGTATCTTCCTGCACAGATACGCCAAAATTGTTGCCGTCCTCGATTTTCGGTATTAAAAATGAAATCCACATTTTTAACAAATTGGCTGGAATAGTAAAATAATTTATAATTCAGTTATTCAATTGCACTCTCTGGCCGANGGAAGTCTATGCAATTAGTTTTAGATTTGCAAGTCAAAATGTGGCAATATGCGTTTTGTTTTAGCGAAACAAACAGCGTTGCCGAACGGAACAAGGTGACACAAATGTGAGCCGGTATTGAAACACACAATTTGCTTGGAAATTTCTGCGATGACGTTGGTAAGTGCATTAACTACAAATGTGCGGACGCGGACATCTATAGGGTAGTACGAGACTTAAAATTGTTCACAATTGTTCCCATTATTTGATTAAAGTGCCAGAAAACGTAAATGCACATAGCACCATGCACCGGTGCGTGGCTTTGCTAAGTTAAAGATTACTTCCTCTGCTGTCAGCGTAGGATGTTGTTGTTGTTGTCGTTGCGTTTGACATTTAACTACCGCTATTTTAGTAGCGTCTATTTTTCGCGTGGAAAAAATGTGTGCAAATTTCAAAGTGCTTAAATTTAGTAAAAACTAAAATTAATATAAGTAAAAATGGTGGAAAATGTGTAGAAAGTGAAGCTCAGGTGTTCTTTTATGTTTTGTTTATAAAAATAATAGTGTGTAATGAAATAAGCATCCATTGCGGGTAAAATCTGCAGCGTCTCGCAGCCATTCTGCTATCCAAAGTTGAAAGTGAAATTTTAAACTTTATTAGAGTTTCTAATATTTGAATAAATTCGTGATAAGTGCGCAAAGTGTGTAGCGTATCGGGATATAATAATCGTTCAGTTTAATATGCTTCCTGCGACCGGCTTGGTGCTTATTGTAATTTTCCTACAGCCGCCGGCAACGGAAATGTGTGCAGTCGGCCAATTGCCGGGAGGCTCCTGCTTAAAATGTTGAATTCCTCCGGAAGTGAGAACGTATAAACAAATGGCTTGGAAGCAACCAAAATATGACAGGTAAAACCAGAAAACTTTCAAAGACATACATATTTATGCGAGAAAGTACATATTTACGCGTTTATGCTTATTTACGTATATGTATATCACGAAATTTTTTCTACTATTTACGCAGCCACAGGCTCCATTTAAAATCAGTCAATTTTGATTTCGAAATATAATTATCTTTTACAGTGGCCCAAATAAAAACTGGGACGCGACATTTCGGCATGTTTTGGCTAGTTTTCTTTAGTTCATTATTTTTGCTGTTGGTTTTTTTTTTTNCCTAGCTAGTCCTAGATGCTTAAAATTTGCACTTTATAAATTGAATGGGCTACAAAGCTGCGGCAAGAAAAGGAACTAAAAATTATAAACAAGGAAAAGGCAAGAAAAAAAGGAAAAATAGGATAAAAACGAAAAAAAAAAATATTCCCTAGTTTCATAATAAAAGAAAAATTGGTATAACTCCAAGTTTCTAACTTGTCCGACTTCTGCTTCAAGCTTGTTTTTTTAACTAAGGATTCTTCAAAAAATCGGCCGAAGTTTTTAGCCTAAGAAGAACATTTTTGCTCAACTTTTTTTAAGTTTTACAATTAAAACTTTGCCAAACTGAGATGAGCGAAACGGTAAAGATAGTTTATTTTCGGAGGAATCAACAACTACAAAAGTTATTAAAGGTCAATTTAGGATTTTTTTAGCAAAATATCTCAAAACCCAATGCTACATGCATTCGATTTTTGGAAAAACTTTATAAATTTGTGCAATATATCGAATGACATCAACATTTTTAAAATGCACGCATTGGTTTTCGAGGTATTTTATCTTGAAAATTTTGTCCTTTGGTAACTCTTGTAGTTGTTTCCCCCAAAAATAAAATATACCGTAATGCTTAGCCCAATGATTTCTATCGATTTCTATATACATCAGTATATATATTTCCCTATTTTATTAACGCCCCTTATTGTCTCCGAAAATGCGTTGGCCGAAAAAGTTGCTTTGAATTTCTCCAACACCAGTTTGGCAGTAAGCCTCTTCTCTTCTATAAGCCGCTTCTGAATCATATCCTAAATATTTAAACATTACCATAGTTTTATTTTTATTTTTATTAAAGATAAAAAGGCAAAACCAAATGTGTGTATTTGGAATCAAAGAAAGCTAAATCGAAACCATTTTTAATCGTAACTACTCTATCTTTTAACAGAAAAAAATACTACCGAATAACGAATAACGAAAAAAAAAGATTTTTCAGCAGACGCGCTTAATGTTTTAAAGCGCAAAAAAAGAATGTCTCAAACACGGAAACTTCACAATATTTTAGCACGAGATGTTTCCACAATATGAAGCATAATAATTATAACGTGAAATTCTGCATCGTTTCCTTAAAAAGTCCAGTTTTTTTTTTAGTTAAATATTTATGACAGTCTTTTTAGTAAATGAGCGATAGCCCAAATTCGCTAGCAAAGTTGCATCGCCTTATCACTTCACCTTTTTTCGCTTATTAAGTACGGGTTATTGTAATCAAATTCTTTTACTATTTTGTTTCTTTTTGCTATTGGTGCCTGCTGCTGCACGCAATGGCTTCATTTTCGTAAGACTGTCACACAAACTTTTATAAAAGCATCTAAATGTTTGCTCGTTTTTGAATGTCAAACGCAGCGACGGGGGGTATCTGCAGTTGAACTTTGTGCATTTGCTTTCTTTCTGGTTTGACCATTGCCAATGTCGGTGAGTAGGGAAAGCCTAGGAGCAAGGACGATTAAGAGATGTGGTTGTTCACTGCCAATTACCCAACACAGGAGGTTGTGAGCGATGATGGCTTTCGAGGTTTCAACAATTGCAATATTGTTTTGTTAGTATTTTTGTTAATATTGTTGCTTTTTACCGTGATCGTGTTACTTGATTCATTATATAGCAAAGCTTTTGAAAATTAATTAAGTTAGAGAAGTGATTTTCGTTTCAATTGTTAAATGCAGCTGTTGCCATTTTGTATGTAATACATTGTGTGCTTTAATTTTCGGGTTTATTTTAAGTATGCATGTATATATGTATGTGTATATTTTATTTTTGCTTTGGAGATGCAGCTGCCTAATTTGGCTTCTCAGTCGTTTTGTGCTTTTTCCAAGTAATCTAAAAACGTTTAAGTAAAACTAAATTAAGAAGACAATTTGCGCGGGAAGCGAGTAAAAGAATAAAATCGTTGATAGGATAGAACTTCGCAATAAGATGCAGTAGCTTTTACTAAGAACAGTGGTAGGTAATGTAATTGGTATAAAAAACAAAATTCAAGTTACATGCGAAATTTTTCCATATAAAGCTATTTTATAAGGCCAATAAATTCTCTCACAACTCTACCAAGGAAATCAGGCCAATCGTTCTCTCTTCGTTATTGCTGAAAACCCTGAAGAAGCTGATTGACATGATAAAACCAGCCTTAATACATTAAGCCATTACTGTGGGTGCCTTTCTCGACATCGTGGGTCAAATTCGCCAGAATTTTCGTTAAGCTTGGGGCTAAACCCGGCAAAATCAAGCGTAGGTTAAAAAGGGTACACCATAGAGTCTTTGGGGTATTTTTAAATAAGTGGCAGAAGAGAGGTAATAAGAAAGGAGTATTTGAACCAGGTGACTAAGTGGTATGCGAAAAGTGGACTCTCTTCAAAGCCTAATAATATGCAACTTGTCCTATGAACTAGGAATTATAAGATATCCCAAGCGTCTCTTTACTCAATTGGAGACAAGCATGTTTTACTTTGACTTGATTCTAGGCAAGAATCTGTCGTGGAAGCCAATGAAATAGTGAATAACGCATCAGCTAATCTACTCTTCTAGGTATTAGTGAACGACATGCAGTGGTTGCAAGGAGGCACCGGTCGACTTTTACATGGATGGGTCGAAGCTTGACCGAAGAGTCGGTAGATGGTTCCATGGAGCTTAAAATAAGGTTTTCAGATCACTATAGTATTATCCAGTGAAGTAATCGATTGGTTGCTGTTTTGAGTCACTCCGACAAGACCAGGCGGCAATCAGGGCGGTTTGGGCTCGCCGACGGTGCGCTAGTTGGGGAATGCGTGACCTCTCTTTCGGTTGTGTCTGGGTATTTTATATCAGAGTAATTCGGGCCACGGCGATATTTATTGCATAAAACTGTATGGCAGATAAGCTGGCCGGGTAATGCACCTAAGGAAAAAGTGAGAGCACCTTTGACTGCTTGTGGACTACATTTACTACAGATGAGCTTCGTGCAAGTACTATCTGGTCAAGGGATCCCTTCTTTGGCTTGGAGAGAATCACTTATTGCATGTATTACTTTTTGGTACTACGAACCAACACCTTATATGAACCCCTTTTGGGAATTCATCACTCATGCGCAATCACTGTGATTTCGTGAATCGACGCCAATGGGATGCGAACATTATATGAAACAGGGCTTTTACATTCGTACATCTATGATATTTTCGTTGCCTAATTAACAAAATACTGAAATAAAGCGCGCCCTGATACCGCTAATACACCCTCCTTCCCCCTTTTCTTCCTGACTTTACAGCAGTTAATTCAATGTTGCCTCTCATTAGAGTACTAAATGAATGACGACAAAAATGATGTTTTTATGTTTGTATCATTTCACAAAATTCATATGCCTTATTAAATGTGATTAAAAATAGCGTAATACAACCGTTTAATTTTTAATACCCCAACAAAGTGCAGTGACATCTAACTTTTACTTTACACTTTCGCACAATTTTTTACATATCGCATATCCTCCTGAAAAGAGTCACAACTCCAAAAAAATGTAGGTTGATTTTTTTACATAAAAGAATTAGTAACATTTATCTTCAACTGCGAATATTTCTTCATGATTATATTTTCTAACTAGCAAACTACGCACGATCCACAAGCAGCTATATTTCCGGATCTGATTTTTGAGTTATGCCTTTTTTGAAGAGGGTATGCGATTTGTACATACATGACTGGGGAAATTAAATAACTCATAAAAACTTTACAAACTAAATTAAAAGTTATACCGAACGAATATGTCCCATCACGTTTCAGAGATTATCCCAAAACACTAATATTAAGATGAACGCAACCCACTGGCGTGCACTGTCATATTG